GAACTCCACGTGATGCTCGAGCATGTTGGCGCCCATCGTCGCCGACGCAGTCCTGTCCTTGTCCGCGAGCTAGTGGCCAATCTTAGCCAGTGTGGTCCGAGGCAGGCGGAGGCTGGGCAGTGCCGCTCTTGCCTGGCGGGCGGGCTCTCGAATGTGCCTTGCTCCACGTACTTCCGAAAGTGTAGGCATGGCGCTCGCGACGAGTGCACTCCGGAGAGATGGGGTGTAAGAGCGGCCATCGCACCTGAGCTCGAAAAAGCTACGGTCGAAGGTAAAGGAGGGGGAGCAGGGGGATAGTGAAAGGTGGGTGCCATAAATCTGAGCTGGCCAGGCGATTGCCAGAAGTTGGCCGCATCGTCCCATACTATTATTCACGACATGGCCCCGTGGACATGGGGCCCAGTTCAAAGACCCCGATAGCCGAAAACAGCTACAAAACCTTCATCAAGAGATGCATCACGACGCGGATGAGGGGATACCGCACATGGTTCGGGACGATTGCGGCGCCTCCGAAGCGCCCTCGGTGAGACGCGCTTGCTGGAAAGCGTCCCAAAGAGACAACAACCTCCAAGAGCCAGCGAAAACTCTCGGCCTCTGGCCCAGGGGCTCTAAGAGCTCACGGATCTCGACGACCACTACGACCACCACGACGACGACGACGACGACGACGACGACGACGACGACGACGACGACGACGACGACGACGACGACGACGACGACGGCGTCTGTACTGGGAAGGCCACGGCCCCGCCGAGGGCCAGCAAGGCCTCGGCTCTTCGGCCGGGCGGCGGCCATTCAGGCTGAGGGCCACGGGCAGTCAGGCAGCGCCAGGGGGGGTCGGGGCACCACGACGTACCCTGGCTATCGCTCGGACGTCCATTTCCTGTGTTTTGTTCGGTTTCGTGCGTGGCTTTTTCGCCAAAAATGATCGAGGATGCTCCTCGAGGGTCCTCGCAGAAGGAAAAATGCACACGTCCGAGCGATGCCAAGTCACTCGAGGACGCGGCAGGCGCTGCGGGGAGAGTACCAGACTCACTCCCAAACGCGTGAGCTTCAAGAGGCTGGACGACCGAAACACTCGCCAGAGCTGCATGTCACCGCTGTACCCGCGGCGAGGGTGCGACCGGAGCCCACCAGCAGCGGGACCGGCAATCGGTTAATCACCCCGCAGCAGGCTAACGGTGGGGGGGTTGGAGAGGTCAGAAGATCGAGGAGGAATCGACAGAGGGCTGAACATGGAGGATCCCGGATTGTTAGGCTTCTCGGTGCTTTTGACCCTCCATTCTGGGAGACTGGGGAGACCTCTGGAGACGGACAGCTTGGGGAAAGATCGAAGATTGAGGTTAGAGTATCCTGGTGCTCCTCCACCTGGTCGGAAGCAGCATCCAGATTCTTACACAAAAGGTGGTATGTTAGCCAGCGTGTACCCCAAACAATGATTAGTTGCAAAAGATGCTCTGCAATCTAGGCGGTGCTGTCAAGTGGTGCGTTCTATGTGGCGCAAAGCAAAAGAAAGCAGTACAACGCCGTGCAAAGCCATCGAAAGCAATGCACAGCATTGCAAAGCAATGCACAGCTATGCGAACCAATGCAAACAATCGATGCAACTCAATGCAATTCAAAGCGATGCCAGACGATCGCTACAGTGCACAACAATGCAACGCAACAAAAATTCGACGAACGGCAATGCAAAACAATGTACTGGCAATGCAAAGCTATGCAACACGCAAAGACAAATAACGAAAAACGATGCAAAGCAATCCAAAGCAATGCCAAGCAATGTAAAAGGATGCACATTAATGCAAAGCAATGAAAAGCTATGCAAAGAACTGCGCAGCAATGCAAAGCCATGCAACGCAACGTGAAGGAATGCAAAGCAAAGCAACGCCGTGCAGCGCAGAACAACGTAAGGCGACTTCGTGCAGCGCAGTGCAGAGCAGAGCAGTGCGAGTGCAATGCAAAGCAGTGCAGCGCAATGGCATCGCAAAGCACCGCAAAGCAACGCAAGCTGACACAGTGGGATTGCAATGACGTGGAGTGCGCTTGCAACGACATGCGACTGTCATACCACGGGGGTGCTTTGGGGGGTGCAGCGTGGCGGCGGCGTGCGGGCGGGAGCGGCACCGCCGAGGCGGCCGACGGGTTATCGACTGGGACAACTGATGCGGCGGCTGACGGGACCGGAGCCGACGGGGAGGCAAGACAAACGAGCAACACACACCCATACCCATAGGGGGTCGTTGAGAGGAGGACTGGCTATGGGTATGGGTGCGGGATGTCGGACCCTGGGGAACGCTCCCGTTCGAGCGGGGACCCCCATCCGACAACACGCACCCATAGCCCCCTCCGACCCCCCTATGGGAATGGGTGTGTGTTGTTGGTTTGTCAGAGGCAAGCGGGCCCAGTTCTGTTGAAGGCAAGTAGGGGCCCTTAAAAGTGCAAGCACTGCTTGGGGAGTGCAGGGAAGAGCCGTGGACGCCCCGCGAGACCCCTGTGAGCACAGCGTGAGCACACGCGCGAAACATCTGAAGGCACTTGCGGCACCCCCTACCCCCAACAAGTTTCAGCGAACTGATCCACTTGATCGAAAGAAGAATAATGTAATGCTGAGAGGGTTTGGCCGATCTAGCGTGACTCGCACGCATCTTGCCTGTGCATGTATCTGTACTACGACGAGGCTCGACAGCCTCGCCGATGCGGCGAACGCCGCCGATCCAAAACGGACGGCCGTAGCCCAAACCGGGCCACAAATCGCCGGACTGGGTGCATCAAACATCTGGAGGCCAGAGACGCCACAGAGCTGGCCAAGTAGACAGGAGCAGAGAAGCAGGAATGGGGAAGATGAAGAACTTACTAAGGACCCGGGGACCACAGCCGTGGTGACCAGAACCTCCATCAGAAGCACCAGAGGGCCCACACGAAAACGGAGACGACGTCGGCGCTGACGACGGAAACGTGTTTTCCGCCACGCCCGCGCCCGCGCGAGGGCAGGGGTAAGCTCGGGGCGGACGAAAAGGGGGGATATAATGGAGCCTGGGTTGAGGAGGAGGAGGAGGAGGAGGAGGAGGACGAGGAGGAAGAGGAGGAAGCGCCCCCTGGCGCCAGAAGCGCCAGTGCGAAGGGGTCGAGAAACCAGCTTCGGCAAGAAAGGACGGGCCTCTGAGAAGAACTGGGATTGAGCAAGGACCGACCGTCCCAGCATTCCTATAGTCCTACCACAAAATGTTCGTAGACCCCAGAAATGTTCTAAGAACAACAACCATGTTCTTAGGACATAAACCCGATGTGACAAAACAAGACGGTCCCAACAAGAAATGCTCTAAGGACATCTCGTGGGAACCACAAAAGGTTCTTTTTGGACGCACGAAGTGGGTACGGACAAAAAAAAAAAAAGTAAAATGCCCAGCAACAACTGTTGTCCCAAACCAACAGCGGCCGCTGTTGGGCAGGCGGCCTTCTGTCTCGAATGGACACAGGCCGCGGCGGCGTGGACAGCGAGTCCTGTTCAAAATGAACAGGAACTGCTGCTGGGCATTGTACCCATTCTCTCCGTACCCACTTCGGGCGTCCAGGTTCTTCGAACATGGCTTGGTAGGGCTATGGGCACGCCCGGACGCATCGCCACTGCCTCATGGGCCCTGGGGACCCTGCGGCTCTCGCGTGGACCGGCTCCCCTTGGCGGCGCGCACAAGGGGGTGGGGGGAGGGGGGGGGCTTTCTTCGACGGAGGCTGCTCCTTAGAAGGAGCGGGCCCTACATCTGCAGATGAGGCCCTCGCCTTCTGAGAAGCAGGGGTGCTTCTCAGAAGCCCTTTTTCTTGCGCAGGCTGCCGAGCGCACGCGCTCGTAGCGTCAGAAACTCAGAAGCCCTCCCCCCTCCCCCCACCCCCCTCTGCGCGTGGAGTCGGGCTCCTCCCGGGGCGTCGGGCTCTGGCGGTCGTGGGGCCCGTGCAGGGCCCGAGGAGGAGGCCCAGCGCCGGCGGCAGACTTCCCAGGAGGCCCTCGCTCTGCCAGGGCGCGCATCCCTCCTGCTGCGGTCGGGGGCTCCTCGAAGGGGGACGAGGGGGGAGGAGGAGGAGGAGGAGGGGGAGGGGGAGGAGGAGGAGGAGGAGGAGGAGGAGGAGAAGAAGGAGGAGGAGAAGGAGGAGGAGGAGGAGGAGGAGGGACACAAGGACACACAACAAAATACACACACAAATACAGGGATTGCCGATCTTATCCCATCTTTTCTGGGTTTTCGTCTTACTTCCCCCCACTTTGCATAGTTTCCCACCTCTCCCTGGGACTCCACAGTGAATTGTGTCTGCGTGTTTTTGCTCCTCCTGACTCCTGCTCCGCGTGTCGCGGCGGTGCTAGGTCCTGCACGCGGGTAGCGTGTCGATCCGCTTCGCGGGGAGGGAGGCCGAGAGAGGCTCGGGGCGTCGACGCGCGGGAGATTGGGAGGCGGTCCGCGCGTCCCGCCGGAGCGTGGCGGGCCAGAACCGGCAGCACGATGCGCTGGGAGCAAGCGCATCCTGGCCGCACATGCAGTGGATTGCGCACCTGCAGAGGCCTCCTGGATCACGTCCGAGCAGACGGGTCGTCGGAGGACCGCGCCCTGCCGCCGATGCATCGGCGCCGCCGGCGTGGAGGACAGCGGTCTCCACGTCAAGCCACGTCGCTGATGCATCGGCGCTGCGGGACGACCCTTCGACCCTCGAGCATTTGCGAGGCCGCACGAGCACGTCCGAGGACAGGGGCGAGGAAGAAGAGGAGGAGGAGGAGGAGGAGGACAGGGGCGAGGAAGAGGAGGAGGAGGAGGAAGGGGAGGAGGATGGGGAGGAGGATGAGGAGGAGGAGGAGGAGGAGGAGGAGGAGGAGGAGGAGGAGGAGGAGGACGACGAGAGCCCCTGGGGACCCTGGATCCTCCTAGACGGCGTCCTACTCGGACCCCATCTGGGAGGTACCCCCCCCTCTCCAGGTCCCCCCCCTTCGGTCCGACCCGAGAGGGGGCAAGCGAGCGCTACAGCTCGGTCAACTCCCACGTCGTACCGCCGGCCACCAGCCTGCCGCGCCCTCCCGAGTTTCCCCCATCCTGACGTCCTCATGCCTCTTTATGACTCCTCCCTTTCTCCGCCTTTTCCCCCCTCCCCCCTTCCTCCCCTTCCTCACCTCCTCGTGCCTCTTGATGTCTTCTACCCCACCACCTCCTCTCTCAATCCCCTCCTCCTCCCGAACCTCCCTCCTCCCCCACCTCCCTCCTCTGCTCGCCTCTTCCTGCAACTCCTCCCTGCCAGGTCTTGCCCTCGATGCTCGATCATCCGAAGATCCAGAATTTTAGACCTATGGGGTGCCACTTTCAAGAGGGCCTCCGGGAACCTCAGGGGGTATCCAGGAGTCAGGGCCTAGTGCGGCACTGAAGCCTACCACCTCCTCTTCCCTGCCTCAATTTCCCCCTTATCCCCTTTCCCAATTCCCCCTCCTCCCTCTCCCTGTCCTTCGCAGCTCTCACTTTCCCCCTCCCTACGCGTACTCCCTGTCCTCCTCCTCCTCCTCCTCCTCCTCCTCCTCCTCCTCCTCCTCCGCCTCCTCCTCCTCCTCTTCTGCCCGCTCTACCTCCCGTTATTTCTCTTTCTCTCTCTCTCTCTCTTTCTCTCTCTCTCTCTCTCTTTATCGCTCTCTCTCTCTCTCTCTCTCTCTCTCCCAATCCCCTGCGATGTACCCTTTACCCTCCTCCTCCTCCTCCTCCTCCTCCTCCGCCTCCTCCTCCTCCCGGCCTGTCGAACAACTTCTCGGCGCACGCGGCCGCCGGAGAGAGGACGCCACCGGCCCGCTCCGCCTTTGGCAAGTCGTTGAGGGCGAGGGCCGCCTCGACGAACATGCGCGCGGTGTCCTTGTAACCTGGGTCGGTGTAGAACTTCATGACGCCCTTGCAGCTGGGGCTCTTGGCCTCTCCGGCGGCGCGCCCAAGGAGGAGCAGGAGAGAAGGATGACGCGCATCCTGCATGATCCCGGCCTCGGTCTGTGGGGCCGAGAGGACTCCCGAGGAGGCAGGCAATGCGGAAATCATGGGTCATATCGGAATATCGGACTACGTCGGAATTGCGTCGGATTTACACTGGACTGACGCCGGAACATCGCCGCGCGAGCGTCGACCATAGCTTCCGGAGCTGACGTGTGGACTGAGTAAATGATACAACTATTACGCGCCGCGCGAGGCCTCCAGGATTTTCCTCATAAAGTTAACAGGGGATACGTTGACCCTTATCCCAGGCATCGTGGGGTCTTCGAATGGACCAACAATTTGGGGCCCAACCCTGGGATCTACAGTTAGGAGGCGCTCATCCTCGATAGGGGTGCGTCCAAATAGCTTCCTGGTGGTGTATCCCAGGGTCTCCCTCCTTTTTTGAACGGCTTCAGTTTGCATCGGAAAGGCTGGAGCTGGGAGAGATACACCGCCTGCGAGCAGGACGCCCTCTAAGATCTTGTTTTTCTCATTCGCGATCACGGGCGTGATCGGGAGAGGGAGAGGGGGGGGAATTCGTCCCTTCCCGATCACATCACGGCGGGGGGCCGCCGGTAATCGTAGCAAATGGTCGACGAATCCGTAGGCAGTCGTCGCAAATGTGGGCAGAATAGCGTGACGTGTTCCGGGGGGGGGGGGAGGGGAGAGGGCCGTTATCGCGGCCGTTATCGCCCAACCCCTTACAACACAGGCTCTGAGAGGCGGGGTGTCTTCTTGGAAGCCCTCCCTCCTGTTTGGGGAACAGACAAATACCGATACCGCAACCTCCCGAGCCTCGCCTTGGGCGCGCACTGGCCAGGATTTCCGGGCGAATGCAGCTGTGGCAGCGATCCCCGCCCCCGGAGCCTCTGGAGGGCGAGCACGAGATACGCCAGCGCTATAAAAATACCCTTTCTCGAAAAAGTCACGCAGTCGGTATAATTACCATAATCATGCGTTCGGAGGTCCGCGCGGAGTTCTCGGATCGGCGCTGGACCCAGCTCCACCAGCGCGCGGAGCGCGCAAGGGGGTCGCCGGAAGCGCCACCAGGGGGAAGGGCGGTCCAGCGCCGAAACACGAAACCCGCATGGACAGCCGAACGCTCGATGTCTCCTCTTCGATGTAAGCAGATACACATACACGCATGGATGACACATACATGTGTGCATGTGTATGGATGTACCTATAAATGTATATCTCTCTGTATGTATACATATATATGATAGAACCAACAAGCGCGCTTCGCGCGCGCTCAAGTTCTAGCTAGGCTTGATAGGCTAACTCATGTAATATTATTATGGTCGCTTCTTGCGTCCAGGGACTCCCTTGGAGGCACTGCGCAAGCCTCGGAATCGTATAGAAGGGGAAGTGCGGAAATGCAGAAATCAGTCATTTCCATTTGGTATTCAACGATTTGGGATCCTCAAAAGCAAAAGCTTCCTGGGTTCTTTTGGAGGAAGTGAGGGGGGTCTGAATTATGGCCTGTTGCGCAAGAGTAGATCGGGGGCCAAAGTTTTAAAGAAGGAACTGTAGGATTTCTATTATTTTCCAGTTCCTCGGCGCTGTTCGGCGCTGTTTTTTGTTAGTGCCTCGCGGGTTTTGTTTGCCGGGCCCCTCAGAAGTGTGGCATCTTCCGGACCCCCTGGGGGGTCTGGAGGCCTCCTGCAGGCCTGCAGAGCCGTCGGAAGGGTGTCTCGGGCTGCGCGGGAGCGTGTTGGGCCGTTCTTTACGTTCTGGGGGCTCCTTGGGGTCGTCATGGGCTGTCCCTCGGCGTCATGGGGTCTTCCTCGGGAAGCCGGGAGGCGCGGTACCGGCCAGATGTCAGGGGATGTGTAGGACCCCCGAGTAGGAGTCCCACTTTGAAAAAAATGAATTCTGGGAATTCCCTATTTTTTTCAAATCCTCAATCTTCGAGGGTTCGAAGCGGGAGAACGTGAGAAGGCTAAAAACATTAGAAAAAACACGGCGGCTCTCGCAGCTCTCTTGGGCTGTTCTTGGAGCCTCTCGGGGTCTTTCTGGGGCCTCTCAGGGATCGGGGGTGTGTTCGGGGCCTCTGGGGGGTCCCAGAGGCCTCTTGGAGGTCTCCGGAAGCCTCCTGCTCCCGCTCTTGGGCTCATCTTGGGCCTGCTCTGGGTGGTCTGGGGTTGTCCTGGGCGCCTCTTCGGCAGTCTTGGAGCCTTCTTGGCCGGTCTTGGGGCCGTCCTGAGGGTCCATTGGGTGGTCTTGGGGCGGTCTTGGGAGCCTTTTCGGCGCTCTTGGACGCTGGAAGCTCGAAAACGCGAGGAGCCAAAAACATAGGAAAAAACAATGCAAATCTTCGATTTTGGCCTCTTCGAGCCGTCTCGGGACGCCTCTCGGACCTCTCTTGGGGTCTCTTGGAAGTTACCTGGGAACCTCGAGAGCCGTCGAAAGGCTGATTTGGGCTGCCTAGGAGCGTCTTGGACCATCCTTTCGCATTCTGGGCGCTCCTGGGAGTCGTCTTGGGCCCTCCTGGAGCGCTGTGGAGGCTCCCGGGAACGCCCGGGGGGGCGGTACCGGGAGCGTTCCCGAGATGTGGCGGGGAGGCGTGGCACCCGGGGCCGCGGGGGGTTATTATTGTTATTCGTATTATTATTATTATTATTACCACTCGTATTATTAGTAATATTGTTGTTTTTATCAGTGTTATTATTATTATTATGATTATTATTACTATTGATATTATTGTGCTGATACTTCTCATTAATACTATATCTGTATGTAACATAAGCACAGACATATAAGTCCCTCTCTCTGTTTCCATTCATCTGGGTGGTTCTCCTCCCTTGCCCCCGTCCTCTTCTCCCCCCGACGCGCACGGCCGGCCTTCGTGGAGGCGTACCCAGTGACGGTCAGGAAGCCCTGCGCCATCTCCTCCCTGCTGGGGCCACCGCCCTCCTCTGGCAGCGCCCCGAGCCTGCGCCAGAGGCCCATCGTGAAGGGGAGGTACATGCTCATCCCGAAGGCTACCTCACAGAGGGAGACTCGCCACACCTCAGACGTCCACTCCGCGTGCACGGTCCAACTTCCTGCGTATTGTTTCGCTGCGCCAGCTGATCCAAGATGCTCCTGACTGGTCCTCGCCAAGAAAAAATGCACACGTCCGAGCTCGAGCGATGCCAAGTAGAAGCGTCCACATCGGCATAAACGCTCGGAGGTCCGCGCAGACTTCCCGAGTCGGCGCGCTGGACCCCCCCGCCTGGCGGCGCCTGCGGCGCAGCGCCTGGTGCGCTCCGCGTACCGGTCGAGGGGGTCCAGCGCCGATCCGAGAGAGCCGCGCGGGCCTCCGAACGTGTACTGTGCTTATCTGACTACCTACCAGGCCACCCCAACCCAACCCGAAGACCCGAATTTCGGGTTGGGGGGGTAAAGGTTCCACATGTGTTTTCTCGACGTTTCCCGCCCCCCCCCCCCACTGGAAATCGAAGGTAAATCTGAGCCTTCGGGTTGGGTTGGGGTGGTTTGGTGGGTGGTGATTATCTCAATTTCTTCCTCCAATGCCTGGAACATTCCTGTCATGCCCACGTCGCTGCTGTCCAGGAGGGCCTCGTGGTACTCGAGATCAGGGGCCATCTGCAGTACCGCGTTCGTGCGCCGCACCGCGTTGGCCATCACGGGCCCCATGACCCACGGGCTGCCATTCGCCCCGACCTCCTGGTAAAACTGGCTTCCCTTGGGCAGCGTCACTTTGGTGCCATACTCCGACTTCTTCCCGTCCACGAGATACAGGGGGTCGAAGCCCAGCCCCCCTCTCGGCGGCTTGGACTTCATGTTCAACATTGCCGTCTGGAGGGTTCCGTTGCTGGGCCTCGACTTCATCTCTGCGAGGATCTTCACGCCGGTGAGCTCACTACCCAAGTGCTTCCACAACTTCCACACCATTAAGTCCCATGGGACACAATCCTGCCCACAATGCACGACAATACGAGCGCCACTCTCCTTTGCTTGGGCGTCGTACTTATCGATCATCATCCGGAAAAATGTAGACTCGCCGCTTGTGTCAACGTAGTCCACGCCGAGCTTGGCGCAGGCCTTGACGAGAGGCTCGCCGTACTCGACGAACGGGCCGATCGCAGTGGCCACGCACCTGGCCTTTTTCACCACCTCCTCGACGTCGTCCTGAGAGGCGCTGACAACATCGAGCACGAAAACGTCCGGCTTGGAAGAGGCCCCATCGATCTTCTTCTCGAGCTTCTCGCGGTTTCGACCGCAAATCGCAAACTTGAGGCCCGGCTTCTGCAGAAGAAACTCGAGGGCCAGTGACCCAGTGAATCCGGATGCTCCGAAGAGGATCACGTCGTACAGGGCCATGCAGTCCGCTCCACGCGATCGCCCAGAGGGCGAGGAGGGGAAGGAGGAGGAAGATTGTAACCGGCCTCGAGCCTATCCCAATCCCTAATCCTTGAGATTGACAAGCCCGAGTGCGATGCCCGTCTCAGGGATGCGCCCTCAGAGACTGTGGGAGCCGTCGAGATTGGTATGGAGATAAGGTGATGCCAACCATAAGGATATGGATCTAAGGGGGGGGGGGGCGGAGGAGAGGGGTGAGGGGGACGCGGGGGGCGAGAAGAGGGCAGGGGGGGGGGCGGGAGGGCGGAGGAAGCGGACGGCGGAGGTAGAGGGTGAAAGAGGCGGAGGATCACGAAAAGGAGCATCTGCCACGCACCCGCATTGGGGCGAGCCCCCGCTGCGTACCAGCCAAAGCCGACCTGACCGCCAGTTCCCAGATGAAGCATGCAACGGAAAGCAGGTTCTTGCCATGGCATTACGGCCCCGTAGAAGAAAGGACGAATCGCCCGAGCCCGACTCCCCGACTTCTGATGTGTTGACTCTCTCCAAGGGACTCCGTGGGCGTCCCGAGACCCGTTCCCCAGGGCGTGCTCATCCCGAGCCGTGTGCGACGGCACCCGGGCCCGTCCAGAGGGCACATATATATATATATAGAGAGAGAGAGAGAGAGAGAGAGAAAGAGAGACGCCGCATAGGGCCCGAGAGGCGAGGGCCCCGAGAAACGGAACACACGTCTTGACGTTGTCTCGAGAAGCGGGGCTCTCTTAGGCACGCTCCAACTGGGTACGGAACAAGGAGGTGAGCTGCGCAACAGCAACGATCATCCCAAACCAACGGCGGCCGCTGCTGTCCAGGCGACCTTCTACCCAACATCGACGACGTCCGCGGCGACGTGGACAGCGCGTCCGGCTCAAAGTGGGCAGGCACCTGTGTCCGTCTTCGTCGCCATTCCTTCCGCACCCGTTCCGACCGCATCGATATCCGAATCGGGAAAAACGGCCAGAAACATAAACGATTGGCTCTCCGCGCAGATTTCTTGGATCTGCGCTGGACCCCCCCCTCCCAGGAGCGCCAAAAATCTATGTGTATGCAATCTTATCTTCTTCGAGTTTCGACCGTATCGATATCCGCAGCTGGGTGCAGCCAACGTGATGCAGTCAGAACGCGGAGTATGGATGCGCGGTAAGAACGCAAGGGCTTTGGAAGGCCATGCTCAGGTTTTTCGAACGGGGCTGGCCAGCGAACGTTGCCAAGGATGGCCCTGAGGGGAAGGATGCAATGGTGACCTTGAAGAGTTACTAATCCTTAGTGTGTGCATTGATTGTGCCACACAGAGCGCCGAACGAAGAACGAAGGGTTTTTTCTGGCCACGGCGAGCCTCGGTCACGAGCATCATCCCCGACCCTGGAGCTGGCCTGGAGGTCTGAACTGGCTGGGGCCCCAGAAAACCTGACAGGTCAGGAGGGGCCAGATGGAGCCAAATCTGGTCAAATTGGTCCCCAGATCCGTCCCGGGCTCCATCTGGTGCAGTTTGTCACACCAGATCAGGTTTCCGCTGCCCCAGGATCCGAACAGGGCCTCCGAGGAAGGCAATCTACCTTCCCGAACCCAGAACTTCGAACATGCCCGCCTTTCCAGCTGGCCTGGACCAGAGCTGGGCCACCTCAGACCCCCAGCCGGCTCTAACCCAGACCAATCTCTGAGGAGCGCCACGAGAACCAAAGCCCCTCCTGTGAGGAGAACAGTTATCGTGTTGGGAGGAACGGGTTGGGAGGATCAAGGGTATGAGCAGTATCGAAAGCATCCGGGTATAATGAACGATACCTGCTGCCGCCTACGGGTAATGATGTCCTCATTTCTCCCAAACCCATCCTCCCAACCTGATCCTAAGATGGTTCTGTATCTCTCGGTGTTGGCCGCACCCCCAGGAGATCCGACGCCCGTTGACGCGTCGCCTCTGCTCCCGACGGGCCACCCGCCGCCGCGGGCCCGCCGCGGATCCCTGCTGGCCCGCTGGCCAGGCCACCGGAGGCGGGAGGAACCGATAGAGGCCTCCCAATGAGCAACGATCAGCAACGGGTCTTACGCGAGATAGCATGGCGACCTTACGCGGCGGCTTACGCGGGCCGTCAGCGCGGAACGCTGCTTTGGAAACGAGGGCGCTCACGCGCGACCTTGCGCGAGCAGCTTACGCGCCAGTGTCGGAGTAGACGACCCCGCTGTTTGCGTCGCTCACGTGGGGTCGGAGCAGATGGGTTCGGAGGATCGCGCTGCATCGCCGATGCATCGTCGAGGCATCGGCGACGCTGGCAACGCACCTGCGACGTGGGGCGTGAAGAGCATCGGGCTCACATGGAGGGGGATCGCGCGATGCGGCGGTGCGGCGGTGCGGCGGTGCGGCGCGATCCTCCGACCCCGTCTGCTCCGACCCCACCTGCTCCGACCCCACCTGGGGGGGGGGGGCCCTGGAACCGAGTGCGGGGCCACTTGTCCGTGGGACGGCCCGGGTGCGTGCCCCGTGCGCCGGGAGACGCGCGGAGCGGCGGAGGCGGCCAGAAGAGGCCACAGGTCACGGAGGGGCCCAGGGGACACGCACAGGTCGACACACGCCCCAGGATGTGCTCAATTTGCGCATGTGTCCCGGATTTCCCGCCTCCCCCTCCATGTCTCCAGATGTCTCCGACGGGCATGATAATCGACGTTTGCTCGTGTCTGTGCCAATGTTTCCCGTCTGAGGCCAGGGCTTCGTGAGCGGGTGCTTTGATGGACCAAGACTCGGCGGCGCAGACAAGGGGGTGCGGCACGGGGGGGCGGTCCTCTGAGAAGGCGGGGCGCCTCGGGAGGGGGCGTTGGAGCTTCTCAGAGGCCCTCCCTGCTTCGAATCGGGCGTCGCTCAATGGAGGGGCGATAGCAGTCGGACCTGGGCCAGACGAACACCCCTCAAGCACACGAGACCCCCCGCTGGCTAAAATGCACAGAACTTTCGTTCCACAAGCACGGAGAATACTCGGGTACCCTCCCCGAGCCGACCTCGGTTGTGGTATACCTCGGTCCGACTGCAAGTTGGGGAGGGGGGCGCGGGCTAACGGAGAAACGTCTACCCTTCGCGCCCCTCGTGGGCCCCCAGGGGGCCCCTCGACGGCACAACAGGTGCACCTTTTTCTTTCCCTCCCCATGTCCCTGACTCTCCAGAGTGTTAAAAAATAACACCCCAGACATACAGACCTATCAGGACTGCTTCTTGAATTTGGGTATTTAGGTCCTGGTGCTATATGTTTTAGCCCTCCTGGAAGGTCAGGGGATCGCCCCCCCGACTGCGCAACGCCCAATGCAAACCTCTGGGGCCCCTGCGTCACCCCTCTGTGGTCGCCGCCGGGGGACGCTGACGCGCGTCCGAGAGTAGACTGCGGCCGTGGGGCGCAAGGCATCTCTAGAGCAGGGACCGGTCGACCGCCCAAATCATGTTCTAAGAACAAAACAGTGTTCTTAGAACACGAAGCTGATGTGATAAAACAAGACAGACTCCGCCAGACATGTTCTAAGAACAGTTCGTGGAACCCCAAAAAAGGTTCTTAGAACATTGCTTGGCAGGGCTACTGGCACGCCGGGACGCTTTGCCACAGCTGGAATCTCGTCATCCCCCAGGGCTGCGGTGTCCTGGCTTCTGGGGCCCGACCTGGGGGCTTGAGGGCCTCCAGGGGTCCCCTCGGAGGCCTCCGGCCTCCGGGAGCCTCTGAAGGAAGCAGCCCCCTGGGGGGCACACTGCATGGGAGCCCCTGGGGGGGGGGGCTCTAAGCGTGGAGTCAGGGGGGGGGCATGCGTGGGTACCGAACAGACAATACCATCCTGCCCTCTGTGCACGAAAAGCCTACGTGTTCGAACCTCGAGGATGGAGGAGGAGAAGACGGGAGGAGCCGGTGCAAGTGCAGGCGCTGCGCGTGCCGAAGGAGGTCGGGTCGGATGACCGCCCCCACCCCTACGGGACGCGACTTGAGCCGTCAGACGGCCCGTGCAAGCTTCCGGTCCCCACCGGCCACCCAACCCCCTTGTCTCTCCTCGTCCCACTCCTGCTGCTCCTGCTCATTCTCCTGCCCTCGGCTACACGCAAGAGTGACCTCAGGCAAGAGTGACCGTTGGTGCGAAGCTTCAGGAGAGGCGCGGAGGAGCAAAATACAAGCGCGCTGGCCTGGAAACCACAATGTGCCCGCACCAAGAGGTCACTCCGGCGAAAGGTCACACGTGTAGCCGATGCCCTATGCCCCCGTCCCCCTCCTCCTCCCCGCCCCCCAATCTCTCGCTCAAGGTATCCCCGTCTCCGCTGCCCCTCCGACTCCACCCCCGCCCGCTTCGCGCTGCTCCCCGGCCTCTGCCGACGACCCACCCGTCCCCCTATGGCTCGGCTCGCGCGGCCTGATGGCGTGTGCCTGGACCATGCCGTCATCTGAGACGAGGAGACTGGCCATCGCTCGGACGTCCATTGCCTGTGTTTTTTGTCGGTTTCGTGCGTGGTTTTTTTTTGGCGAAATGATCAAGGATGCTCCTCGATGGTCCTCGCCGAAGGAAAAATGCACACGTCCGAGCGATGCCAAGGGAGAAGCAATACGACGCTACCGCGACAGCGGCAGAAAAGGCCCCGAGCCCGCGTGTCAGGCGACGGCGAGAGCGCCGCCCGAGGGCGGGGGGCGGGGGCGACACGCCGAGAGGGAGGCGCGCAGCCTGCCGCCCCTCTCCTGCGAAGTCTGGGGCGAGAGATGGGCGCAACGTCGGCAGAGGGCACACGCCGAACTATGGGGTTAGCGGTGGGTGCGATGTTTGACATACGTATGTACTTGCAGTCGTGTGTATATATATATATATGTGTGTATGTGCACATGTGCAAACGAAACGTACATGCGTACCAAGGCTCATAGGCCTGACGAACACATGTGAGGATGTGTGTGGGTGTGGTGTACAAGGTGTGTGTGTGTGTGCGTGTAGTGCTTCTTGTTTGCTGTGTGCGTGCACTGTACGCGTTGTGTGTG